AACTCAGGGGGACCCTGTCTCTAAATAAAATGCAGAAAGGGCTGGGGATGGGGCTCAGTGCTTAAGCATCCCTGAGTTCAATACCTGGAACAACAACAACAAAAAAAAAGTGGTCAGCTGGAGCCACAACTGAATGTTACACAGGGATTGAGTGAGACCCCTCTAGAGCTAGAGCCTGAGTAATCAGGAAGGGGTTGAGTGGTAGGGATGTCCGTTATGCAGGATGTCCAGTTCACATGTGGAAGTGACTACACTGATACGGTATTGTCAACCCTGGATTTGTTTGTCCCCCTCAACTAGGGTCTCCAAGATGTCCACATATAGAAGCAAGGGAGTCCTCATCTCCCATGATGATTTTTACTGTCCAGGAGAGTCCTTGTCTATCTACGGCAAGGTAGGGGATGGGAGGGGGGCTTGGAGAGGTAAAGGGTCAAGACCATAAGCCAAAGACACTACCTTGTCTGTCTGTCTTCCTTCCTTTCTGCTGTGCTGCTGAGGTTCAAACCCAGGGCTTCATATATGCTAGGTAAGCACTCAGTCCCTCAAAGACACCACTTTTCACAGAGACACACTGCTTTCCATTCCTTTAGGCAGTAGGAGTGCAAAGTTTTCAAGCGGTGGAAATAACTCCACTTCTTCTCTTCCTGCCCGCCCCAGGCTTCCTTCTATCCTCCTCTAGACCCATGAATCTGCCTGGGCCCTCGCCTGCTCTCGCCTGCTCTCCCTTTCCTCCTCGTGGGAATTCCTCAGGAATGAGAGAACTCTTCTGAGATTACACGCAGCACCATGGGCAGGATGTTCTTGAATAATTTCTTCCCAGTGATGAAAGGCCAGAGCCTTGCAGTCTGTTAAGTTTGACAGACAATCTGTCTTCATTTTGAAATGTCCCCTAAAAAGAACAATCTGTTATACTCTGGCCAACACATTTGAATGGAAAGAAATAATGAAATCTGACCCAAACATCACAAAGGAAGGAGTAACCGTGGTGGAGGGAAGGGATACACAGGAAACTTTCTGCTCCCAGCTCAGCGCAGAAGTTGCCCTTTGTGCATTTTCATGGAAATGATGGATACCAGTGCCCTCCGTGTGCATGTGAGTCACACTGGAAAGACTCATCCAGGCCAGAAAGGAGACCGCTCACTGTCGACACGGAACATTACCCCATCCGCTGGCTTTCAAACCTGCTGAAGCGAACATTTTGGGAAGGAAATAGAGCAGAGCTAAATTTCCCAGCCATGTGAAAACAGAGAGAGGGAAGCACATATCCTCAAAGGATCCCCACTTTGGCTGCGGTCTGGCTCCTATTGCCTCCAGAAAGGATGTCCCAAGTGCAGGGTGGTCCTCAGAACCAGCTCCCCTATCATCTCTCTCCTCCTCAGCAAATTCCAGAAAATCTAGCCAGGTTTTATCCAGTGGGCAGATCTGACTTCAATCTAGACCTGAGATGTTCAAGGTCTCCCTGGGTTGGGGTCAGGGTAGAGGTTTCTGTCTTGCGATTTCAAGTGGGAAAGATCATAACAGAAATAACCAACATTTACAGTACATTTACTAAGCTTTGATTACTGAGTTAAGCTCTTCCTGTGTATTTTAAATATTTAATTTGCAGGAGGAAGATCCTTTTATGGCCATTTTACGAATGTGGAAACTGAGACTGACTTCTCCTTGAAAAACCAACAAACAAGCTTGGCTGGTAAACCCTGGAATAGGCATGGCACTCAGAGCTCAGGACGCCGTCTGTTCTTACTTGCTAAAGTCTGGTGCAATACGTTCCTTTTTGGAATGTGTCTTCTGTAGAAATGAGACACAAAAGCCCAAGACATCAGCTTGCAAGAGCACCAAGGGCCCACTCTGGAAGCTAATGTCAGGGCCTCCATGATGTTCAGACTCAGCAGAGGGGGCAGACTGGGCTTTGGTCCTGCCTCTCCTCCTTTCCATCCTAGCTTCTAAGAGTTATCCCCCCCACACCATTCTCCCCCGAGAGGCATTCCACCTCTGTCCTCCTGGTTGGGCTCCTTCTTGGGGCATGCCGTGACTTGGGCTGTCTCAGTCTCCAAGGGGATGGGTGATTTATGTCCTTTTATTCAACAAACAGCTTTGTATAGAAGGGATGCGACTTGCTGAATGTCACCAGGCGGGGGCAGGGAAGCTGTGCAGAATCCCAATGAAGCTTTCTGGGCCTGGGCAAAATGGCATGGGGAGACTCTGCTATTGTGTGTGTTTGCTCTGGTGGGAGGAAGGGCAAAGCAGCCAATCCTGAAAGGTTCCAGATAGGGGGATGGAGCAGCAAGGAAAGGCCCAAAGCCCCAGTGTCCTAGTTGTGCTGCCAGTGCCTGACTTTTCTCAATTTTCTATGCCCTCCAGGCACTCTATAGGAGTAGGCCTCCTCGTCCCTGGACAAAAATTAGGAGGGCTCCTTTCTGTGGGGCTGAGTTAGTTCAGAGGCTGAGTGTGCCAGGACCTTGGAACCCTTGGCTGCAGAATAAATCAAGGGGCATGGAGACATTCACTAGGACAACATCGGGGCTCCGCTCTGCACACAACCCTTCCCAAACCCAGGAGGCCCTGTGGTCTACCTGCTTTCTATGTTCATCTTTAACCTCACCCCATGGATGTCTGGGTCTGTAAGTTCTCTGACACCATGAGCCATGCCTATTCCCACATACATACTCAGGATGCCCAGCACAGCCCTATCTTCAAAACCAGTAGGTACTCAATGTTTGTTGAATGAATAAAAAATGTCATTTCATTCCCTATTAATCCTGACACCCATCATTGCCCCAGAGCCTGAGGGCTGCTCTGGGATACCTGACAGAATGACAAAGCATGACCCCAGTGTTTGGGGCAGATGATTCTCCATGGTGCCAACCAGTGTGTGACGAATGCACTAAGGAACGGGAAGAATGAGAGCTGCAGGACCAAGGTTTGGTCCCACTCTCTGCCTTCTCTCACTGGAAAAGCATAATCCAGTCTCACCTACTCCAAGCCTGACTCCTTTCAGCAGCTGGCCTGGTCCCCAGCTTGGTCCCTCCCCAGCACAGGCTGCGGTGGCTGGTCTGAGTCTGCAGCCCCAAGGCCCCCATGCTGGCTCCCTCAGCCTCCCCCACACTCAGTCACCAGGGAGGACGGCAATTAGTCTTCATTATGCTGCTCAGCATGACCTGGCCTGGTGAAAAACTCCTTGTTCCCCACTTTTCAGATCAATGTGGACCTGGCACACAGGATCCAGAGACTGGCCACATAGGGACTGGGGAGGGCAGAAGAAAACATTCAGAGCCTGTGAGAGAAGCAGGTCCACTCTTTCCCCAGAGCAGAGAGGTGGCAGGGTCCCCTGGAAACATGGGGCAGCTGGAAAGAGCAAAGTGAGGAGAATGGAAAAGGACAAAGGCATGTGAAAAGGCCACAACAATGGGGCAAATGGAAGGGCAAGAGGGAAACGAAGAAAATGAGATCTCTCTTTGGTACGTCCTGATGTGTGCTTTGTTCTGTATCATTTCCTTGGAACACCCCTGTAGGATACCCCACATGGCAGAGGTAGTGATAAAGGGTAAGAGGAGCTGGAGGTAGAAGAAAGGAGGGCCAAAGGGAAATGCTGAGCATTTATCTATTCTCTTTCCTTTCCAAAACCTTGGTCTTATCTGCACTGAGAGCATCAGATCCTGGATTTCAGTTCTGGGAGTCAGAGGCAGGACCTTGGCTTTGCCGAACTAAGGGTTGTCCAGGGATTTCAAGGTCTCTCAGATAGCACTAAGCCCTTGTTTTCCTACCTGCACTCAAACACCCCAAGAGTGAAGTCAGGGTCTGTCTTCAGGATCTGTAAGTCCCCTGAGATTATAAGCCATGGCTGTTCCCACATAATGTTAACACATGGGATGCCCAGCCTAGTCCATTATCAGAAGGCAACTTGTCTACCCTTCAAAATCCAATACCCTGCATCCCTGCCCCATTCCACAGGTATGTAACACAGCCCTGGCTCAGATATACTATCAACCAACAGGCAGGGTAACTCCCCAAGCTTCCCAACCCTGGGGCAGAAAGAGTCCCTGTCCCTCTCTCAGCAGGCCCTTGATACTTCAGAAGCAAGTACAAAAGGGGCAGATTCTACCAGGACCTCTGAAGAAACAATTCTGCTGACTGTACCCAAGGAAAAGAAGGGAGAGAAATGGGGAGGGTCCCTACAGAAGGAGGGTGCCGGTCAATAAAGAAGTGAGCTTAGGGGGCATAGTGAAAGAGAAGGAACACAGGGGAGCAGCAGGGGTCTCACCCTCCCTCCCCAGGAAGCAGGGGCTCCAAGGCTTTGATCCTCAGTCCCTAAGCAATGCCATCCCTGCCCTTTCACTCTGTGGATGGAGATACTGGCTAAGCACTAGGAAAGGCTTCATGATCCCCACCACATCCTTCTATTGGACTTTGAGATTATTTTCTTTGTTGCCATCCTGTTAGTTAATTTATCTCTATGAAATCAGTTCTTTTTTTCTTTCTAAAATCCCTCAATCCAGTCCCCTTTCTTTTGCTCCTTCATGTTTTGCCTCTGCCGATTTGAAAAATGTGCCTGAGCTTACGTGTCCTGGGGGCTGGACAGGTGGCAGTGAGAGTGTGGGCTGAGGGGGCTGTTCCCTGGCAGAGATGACCAGGCGCTGATACACACACTTTCTTCTTCTTCCTCCTCCTCTTTTTCTTGCTCTGGAGGGTGGCAGGGTGGGTGTACTTCAAGCTACTTTGATGTGAAGTATCCCTAGCGACTCTAATGGCTCCTGGCCCCAGCACACTCCGAATGACTCCCAGGTAGAGACAGAGGCTTGGTTCAGCGGGGAATGATTGGCTAAAGATCACGTGACTCTACCTCCCTCGGCCAATCAAGAAGCTGCCGGGGCTGAAGCAAAGATTTCACCCAGGAAATCGCTTGAGACGTCCCAAGTCTGAGCGGAGGTGCCTGGAGAACCTGGGCGGGTGGGGTGTGGGAAGGATGGAGAGTAGGGGAGCCCGGAGCGCCGGACACTCACTCTAGTACGTCGCGGTTGAACTGCTTCTTGCTGTTGCCCAGGAACTCGCCGATCATCTGGCGGCTGAGGCCCTTACGCTGGAGCAGAAAATGGGCCACACCGATGGGGGTGTCCGGGATGAAACCGCGCGAGATCAGGAACTGGATGCCCTTGTCAGGGTTTCTGGAGGAGAGGTTGGAAGTGGGGAGTAGTAGTAGAGAATGAGCCAAGGCTGACTCTGACTTCCATCCTCTCTGTCTTCCTACCCGTGAAACCCATAAAAGGGCCCGGAGGTCCTTGGAAACCCAACTTCCTAGGAGATTCTTTATGCTGCAGAGGTGTCTCCGCTGATGCATCCCTCCTCTGACCCATCTCACACAGAGGTTGGGGGCGGCGCTGGAAGGAGGTTAATGTGGAGGTCTTGCATAGGCAAAGAGAAGTCCAGAACAAGTGGAGGCATAGCACCCTTCTCTATCCCTGCCTTGCTCGCTCTGGATCTTACCCTGAGGTCTCCCAGGTCTACTGAGGAGGCCCATCCTTCTTACCTGTATCCTGAGCTCAATCTCAGGTCCCCACCCTGGAGTCCAGAGAGGGTGGGGGAAAAGAGGTGAGATCTCCCACTACGCCCCCCTCCTTTCCTTTGCATGGTGGACACAAGGCTACTGGTCTCTAGTGTGAGTCTCTCCGTGTGGGTGTGTGCCCTTTCCTAAGGCAATTGCACTCTCAGTGCAGTCTGCAAACCCATGCTGCTCCCTGGGTTGAATCTTACTGGTTCAGGAGAAGGTAAGTACAGAGATTGAGGGTAAGCATTTGGAACCTTTTATAGCACTTTGACATTTTCGGGACAACCAAGCATGTGATTGTTTTTCTAGCAATTCATTTTTATTGTGTTTTACAAAAGCATCAGCCCACAACATATGAGGTGAGAAAAACCAAACTGGTCTTTCAGGAGGGATAGTTTGAGACTCTCCACTTTGAGGGATAGAAGTATCTCAGAGTTTTTATGTGTAGGCAGAACCGATGCTGCGGCTATGGGGGTAGGGTGGGAGCAGGGGTGAGGGCAGGGCTGTGCTCATCAGGTGAGGAGGAAAAGGAGAGATGGATTTGGAGTCCACACTGGCTTCCCCTAGGTTTGCTTCGTATTAGAGTTGAACAGTGTGCAACCTGCCTCACTTTTGTGAGTCATTTTCTTTTCTATAAATGGCATAATACATATTACTAGATATTATTGGGAAGATAGCAGATGCTTTATGTCAGCTGAACTATGAACAGCAGTGAGTGTCTTGAGGCCAGGGGCTGGGTCTTACTCATCTTTGTAGTTGCAGTGCCTAGCACTCAATAAATAATAGTTGAATGAATAAATGAACACACATGTAGGCAGGAGAGACATCAGTGCTCTGAGCCTAGGGCTATGAAGGAAGGGGTGAATGGATAGTGATGAGTATCTCATGGTTTTTGAATTTCCATGAGAGGGGCATGTCTGCTTCCTCTGTTTGGCATTGTCTGTGCACATTCTTGTTGCAAGGAGTAGTCAGGTTAGGATCTCTGAATTATGGCCATTAATTTTTCTCTTCCCATTCCCCTATTCTTTTTCTAGTCTGTCTCTGCTTGCTTCATACTTTCTTTCTTGTCTCCCTCTCCTCCTTTAATTCCTTCCTTCCCTTGATCTCTACCTGTATTCTTTTCACACACTCTGTCTCCTTCACCCAGTCCCTCATTTCACCAATCCCAAGAAATAATGCTGTTTCCTCAATTTCTTTTTTCTTCTTTGGTAGTAGGGATTGAACCCAGGAGCAATTTACCACTGAGCTACACCTCAGTCATTTTAAAAATTATTTATGTATGTATGTATTCATTCATTCATTCATTCATTCATTCTTGAGTCAAGGTCTTGCTAAGTTGCTGAGGCTCACCTGGAACTTGCAATCCTTCTGCCTCCACCTACCAAGACTCTGGGATTAAAGACATGGGCCACTGTGCCTGGTTTGTTTCCCTAATTTCTTATTCTGAGTGCTTCCTGCTCAATTTTCATACAGTTTGTTCTATTATTTAATCAACACTGTATTTTCTTTTAAATTCTTTCACTTTTCAAACCCTCACTCCAACTTAAATAGTAGTAGTCATAAAAAACCTGTATTTTATATTTTCCCCTCTAATGCTTCTTAAAATAAATTTATAATGAAAAATAAAATGTGTACTTCCTAAATATTATCTCAGTGATCAAGTATGACACAAAAATACCTGGAAAGACCTTGGGATGATGTGGTAAACTACCTAGCACCCAGTTTGGTGGAGAGGGAGACCCCTGTAAATTCAAATCCACCATTTTTCCGTCCCTCCCAGGCCCTCTCCAGGTCCCCAATGTGCCAGGCCAGAGCTCACTTACATGTTGAAGAGGTTGAGGCCAATGCGGTAGAGGCGCTTGCGCAGCGTGTCGGTGGACAGCGTGGGTGACTTGCAGCTAGCAGGGTTCTCGCAGTGGTAGCGGGGCAGGCTCAGGATCATGGCCTGCAGGGCCTCCTTGGAGGCGGAAGCCGATACTTCCGAACCTGACTTGGCAGACTTGGTGGATGTGCTGCTACTGCTCAGCTGCTCCGAGTTGTCACCCGCCTCGGCCTCTGTTCCTTTCCCTGCCTCCCCAGTCTCCTCTTCTTCCTCCTCCACCTCTGTGGCCACAGCCTCCTCCACTACCGACTCCGCAGCCACTGACCGGGGGGCTCCACTGACTGCCACTTCTGGGCACGTGTCCTGGGAGAAGGCGTCCCCCTGACCCACAGCGGGGGCCTCCGGGGCCTCCTGCCCAGGGGCCTCACCCTGTTCGGCTTTGCCGGCCGCGGGTTCTGCTATGGCCTGGGCAGACTGGGCGCCCAGGCAGTTGGCCACAGACAGAGCGGTGGAGGAGGAGACCGAGATGTTCTGGCTGGCGATCTGCACAGTGACGTCCCGGAAAGCCATCATGAGGGTGCCGCTGTGGCTCTGGGGCAGGCCGGTGGTGGCCTCGCTGGCCTCATCTCCAGGCCCTGCGCCTGCACTTTCAGGCTCCCGCATCTCAGTCTCCAGACAGGGCTGCCCGGTGCCTGCGTGCAGGGCTTGGTGAATCTGGTAAGCGCCGCTCTCCTGCAGGGAGCACATGGTCTTGAGGCTCCAGGTGTTAAGGGCGTCGTCGATGGACTTGGCCAGAGACTGCACCTGCTCAGTGAAGGAGTCCTCCAACTCTGTGAGCGTGCCGGCGAAGGTGGGCGGCAGGGAGGGTGAGCGCACTAACGGCAGCCCCATGAGGCCGTAGCCCTCCATAAGGGCCTTCTCAGCCGCCAGGCTCTCGGCTGTGGGCGCCCGCACCTTGCGCAGGGAGATCCGCCGCGGAAGGCGGCTCTCCAGGAGCGAGTTGCGGATCTTTTCGAAGTTCTTGCTGAGCTGGTACTGGCGGAAGGCGGTTTGGATGGTGCAAGCAGCTCTCCGGGACACCAGATGGCCCCCGTACTTGTGTTCTAGCATTTCAATCTGCAACAAGGACAGCGGAAAGGGATCCATTAGGAAGGGATGTCACAGCCTGGATGGTAGTGGTGGATATCAATCAGTTCAGTAGGTCACCTGGTCCAGCTTTGGTGGGGCTAAGGAATGCATTGCTGGGGACTACTAGGGAGCTCATGTCTGAACATTTCTACCATGTCATGGCCTCAGATACCAGGCCCTTGGTAAGACTTCTAGCGGTGCAGGATATAGGATTCCATTCTGGGGATTGGTGATGTCTCAAGGGGCAGAGGAATAAGGTGTTGCTGATCGTATCCAACCATAGCTACTGTGGTGGTTATCAAAAATGTTCCCATCAGAGATGTGTATTGAAGTACTTATCTTAAATTTGTATTAAAATACTCTGTAAGAAAAAGAAGGGTTAAGCAACACAATATTAATATTAATAAAAATATTAATAAAATCATTGGAGCTCAGTTATGGCCATATGTGAGTTTATTGTGCTATTGTTTCTACTTTGGTGCACACTTAAAAACATTAAACCATTAAAAATTAAACAGAAATGCTAAGGAAAAAAAATACAAAAAACAACTACTGCTATTCCCTCCCTGCTTCCCCAGCATTCATGTCACTACATTGGGATCCTTCCCTTTCCTTGCAAACATCACAAGGATTGAGACCAGGGTTTGACTGCATTACCGGTACCCAGCCCAGGGTCTGGCATATAATAGGTGCTCAATAAACATGAAACTAATAAAAAGTTGGAGGTGTATCAGGAGTGTGGGTCTCAGGCCACAGTGTCCTACAGTTCTACAATTTAAGACACTTTCATTCACAGTGGGAGCTGTCCAGCCAGGACAGTGTTCGGTGGGACTGGCTAGTGTTGCCTCACCTGGGCAGATTTGGCCCCAGGAAAATTTTTGGCACAGACCAGTTTGTGTTCAGGGGCCTTGCTCACCTTATCTCAGCTCTGGCCACCTGCCTATGGTCTTCTCTGTGCTTAGGTTTCTATGTTCTCACTTTATCCTTTATCAAAAACTCTCAGAAAAGGACTAGAAAGAGTATTCTCCTGAGAAGTGAATGACCATTAACATTACCATACCTCCTGGAGGGTTTGCATTTTAAATAAGGAAGGAGGTTTAAGGGGAGAGGCCTAATTGGTGGTATTGCAGACTCTGGTTCTCAGAGAAGTTTAGGAAGCAAGGAAATGTTCTGGGGTCCTAAAATTATGTCCTATAGGCTGGGGATATAGCTCAGTTGGTAAGAGTACTTGCCTCGCATTCATAAGGCCATGGGCTCAAGCCCCAGCATCAAAAAAATTCCTATCCATAGCCTTACCGTTCTCTTACATATTGTGTTATTCCTGAACAAAGAATTGGGAAAGAAAAACTGAGACTCACCTCTCCAGGCAAGAGCAATGTCACCACTCCCATGTTCCCTAGGGACCATGGGTATGAGGAGTAGAGGAAGAAAGGCCAGGTTCACCCCTCAGTACAACCCTGCAACCTGCTTTCCTCAACCCAACAAAGGCTGCAGCTATACCACCCACAACTTCTGCAATGCTCACTGTTTCCCCCTGCAGGGTAGCATGGTGACCCACATCCTGGACCCTCAGAGGTGTCCTTTTAACCCAGGGGACCTTATGGATACAACCCGATTTCTAGTGACAATTCCAGGTAAAATGGGAAGTCCCCAATGCTAGTCTTTGGCTCTTCTAGTCTTGTCATTCAGTGCCCTTTTCTATTCCCAAACCTATGGAAGTCACACTATCTCTCCTCCTGTATCCAGCCCTAGCCCTACTCTCCAGGGGCAATTAGAAGCTTATTCAGATACAGGTATAAATGACCCACGAGGCTTCCCAAAAGTAGCTGCATTTTACAAAAGACTCTAAGCTGCAGAAGAAAGATTGACCAGTGGTGTCATTATCCTAGTGTTGTAGGGGTCTTCAAAGTATTAAAAATTATACTAGGATGGGTCGGGAATGTAGCTCAGGTGTAGAGCAGTTGCCCAGCATGTGCAAGGCCCTGGGCTCCATCCCTGGCACTGCAAAAAACAAAACAAGCAAGCAAGCAAACAAACAAACAAAAAAACCCCATAGCAAATGTATTGGTTATTGCGGTGTAACAAACTATTAAAAACTTAGGTGCTTAAAACAATGCCCCTTTATTTTCTCATAGTTCTTTAAATCAGTTGTCTGAGCATGGCTCAAATGGGTTCTGTGTTTAGGATGTCACTAGGCTGAAACCAAAGTGTCAGCTGGGGCTGCAATCTTATCTAAGTCTTCTTTCAAGCTCACTATTCTTGGCTGAAGCCAGTTTCTTACACTTGTAGGTCAGAGGCCCTCAGTTAACAAAGGCTGCCCATGTTTCCCTGCTGTATAGCCCAAGGAGCAACATGGAGTTTGCTTTTTCAAAGCCCACAGAGGAGTATTTCTTCCAAGGTTTTACTTTCTTTTAAAGGCCAGACCTGATTAGACCAGGACCACCCTTTTGGTTAACTCAAAGTCATGTTGGACATATCATATCACATATTATAGGAGTGATAGCCATTATATTCATTTGTCTCACTCAAATTTGAAAGGAGGGGATTATATAGGACCTGTACCCCAGGGGTAGGAATCCTGGGGCCATCTTGGAATTCTGTCTACAATACCAATGGGACAATTGTCTACTTGGTCTTTATCTGAGCAGCACTGCATGAACCCAAAGGAAATATGGATATCTGCTTCCAAGCATTTTGTTCCTGCTACAGCAGAAATCATGTTAGAAGGGTGAGAACATTGTAGCTTGGCTCATTCTTCCTGGTAAACTCTGACATGTTCCCTGAAGCCTAGAATGGATATTTGGCCTTGGCTTATCCAGGAAAGTCCTCCAAAGGCAGAGTACAGAGAGTGAGGGGGAACTCATCATAAATTGCTTCCTTCCCTTTTAACTTCCATCACCCTTTTACCTCTCCTCAGGTGTGATAAGAAACTGGCATGAGGCCCCGACTTTATATCTCTTTCCCATTGGCCTATTAGTGCTTCCTAGGGAAACCTTAGCCCAAGATTTATAAGATGCTACTGGCAACTGAGAGGAGGTATGAAGCCCATTGTCTGAGGTGTTCCAACATGGTAAAGGGGTCCATCTCCCTGGCATGGTGTCATCCTGTTTAGAGGCAGAGACTTGAGATAATCCTCAGAGACTCCTTCTGCCAGTCAATGTCTAGGCTTCAACCAAGAAAAGAAAAAAAAAATTTTTAAAAACTGATATTTATCCCATTCCCTAGACTTTAAGCTCCATAGAGGCAGAGACCGTTCCTGCCATATTAATTTCTGTATCCCCAATGCTTGGACAGTGCCCAGCACACAGTAGAATTCAATGAATAAGTACTGAATAAATTAAAGAGAAAATCCCAAGGTCGTCTTTTGTGACTCTCAAAAACCTTCCTTTTCTGACCCAGTACAGATGACCTCCCCTCTCTTGCCTCCTCTGGACGTTCACTACTTGTCCCCTTCTTGCATTTCCAACCTCCACCCTTCTGTTTGCTGCTCCCCACCTGCCGGTGCACACCCTCCAAAATCTCCCCAGGATAAAACAGAGCTCCATTTGTCTCTCCTCCCTCTGGAGCACTAGTCAAATCTTGTTTTCCACTGCACTTCTTGGAAGACAAGTCTACCTTTTACCTCCCTCTGAAAATGTATGCCAAACTGGTGATCCAACTCCCTATGCCCTACTCCTCACATTCTGGCTCCCACTCATGGCCCATCCTCAACCTCCCTCCTCCCTCCTTGCTCCTGATGTTGAAATTCTCCTCTTGAAACTTTCCTCTTGATTTTCTTGCCCCTATATGGTTCCTTAATCTTAGACTCTGGCCACAAAAATCCCCGCATGCTAGTGTGTCACCTGCCATTCTATACACATATTTTCTCATACAGTTCTGACATCTTCCATGACTTCCATGTTGGAAGTCATTAGAGCAGTGACAGGGAGCTGATAATTAATGACTAATTAAGAGGGGGAAGTGGCTCAGGCAGAGCCTTTGTGGTGACTCTCACCAGGTTCTGTAAGCTAATGTCTTCTCATCTCTCGCCTTCTTTAAGAGAGGCTCTTCAACTGTCATAACATTGCTCTACTTTAGTGGATTGATGAGCCAACGTCTACTTCCTCCATGCGGGCTGAACTTGGACAAGTTTATTAACATCTCTGACTCTCAGTTTTTCTTATCTGTTAAATGAAGCTCATCCTGCTGATTCTGTAGCTTGTTATGAGGAATAAATTATTTTCTCATGTAGCATCAGGCACATAGCAGGTACTCAGTAGGTGGTAGGTATTTGATGATGACATTGATGGTTATGTACATGACTCCCAAATCTCCATTCTTACCCTTGATCCTAGACCTGCATTTCCAATAGCATATTGGTCTCTCTGTTCATCTATGTAAAGCCATCGTCTTTCTCCACCTCACCCTATCACTTTTCTCTTATACCGTCATCCAGGGTGGGAGCCTCGTGTCTGTCCTTGGGTCCTCCTTTGCCCTGTCCTTTGCTTTGTCTCCTATAGCCTCCATCCCCGTCCTTTGTCCTTTCTCAATCATCCTCTACTTTCTTGCCAGAATGTCACCACATGGGACTCTCATTGAATATCCAGCAGTCTCTAACTCTCTCCTACTTCCTCTCCCTCCCCCATTCACCAGACCCGGCACCTGCCTCCTCTGTTTTAACTGCACAAACTACATCACACCCCATCTCCACTGCCTACTGCCCCCACCAGCCCTGGGCCTCCTGCTGGGGCATCTGCTCAGCCTTTTCCTTCAGCCTCAACATCACCCACCCTCATCCCTTTCCTCCATGTACAAATGTTCCCCTTTCTTCAAGACCTGTCTTGAATATACCTCTTCCACATAGCCTTCTCAATTTCCCCAACCACACAGGGGGTCTCCTTTCCTTTGACCCCCATACAGAATGTTGAGTCAAATTTCTCTTGGATGCTCAGTTTTGTCCATGAATCTTTGTGTATTCCATCCCACCCACCCTTCCCTGTCTACCTTTT